CAGTGTGTTTGTTTCTGCCCCGCCGCGCCCAGGCCGCAAACAAGTATTTGAAAGCCTGGCGTGAACAAAAGGGAAAAAAAAAAAAAAAAGACCCGAAAACTGAAGCCCGCAAACGGCGGTGTTTAAGTAGAGAGTCGCCCAGAGAGCGCAGGGCCCGGAGGAGAGCGGATACTTCCCCGAGTAAGGCCATGTTGAATGTGAGAGCCCTGGAGCGCCGAGCACGAGTAAGGGGGCGGTGAGAGCCGGAGGTCTTAAAAACGCTGCTCACAGGAAGGCCAGCAGGCTGTAAATACCTTCATGCCACCATTTTCCCCCTCAGAAACTTGAAAACAAGTGACGATTCGGTAGGCTTACAACTTCTAACGTCGCTTATAAGGGTACTCGCACAGCCAGTGTTTCCAGAGCTGCCTTTTCATATTCTCCCAAGGATGAGCCTCACTGCTTCAGAAGGCATTAGAGAAAAGAGCAAGTCAAGGAAAAAAAAATAAGGGAACATAAAAAAAATTAATTTCTGTTTTACAGACTGGGCCTCATACAAACCAGACAGGACACACATTACCAGGATGGAATCATTTCACACCAGCACTGGCATACTAAAACATTGCTACTTAATAATATAAAGTAAGTATATATACAGTCTAAATCTGGGTGTTTTTTTCCCCCCTATTTGTTTATATTTTGTTAAGAGGTGAAATTACCTAAGCAGGTTTACAAGAAAAAGTAAAAAACCCTACGTTATACCACATTTTGAATTAAAAGCCTATGCAAAAAAAAATAAATATGCTGTAATACTAAAAAAAAAAAAAAATTTAAAAGACCAATACTTTTTCAGCAGACTGCCCTTAGTAGCTGCTCACTTCCCCAGAATTTAAAGGAAATTGTTCCTCGCCCTCATGCCTTCTGGGAAGGGAGGCGTGGCTACCTGTAATTAGTAAGAGAAAGAATAGGTTTGCCAATTAAACCATAGGAAAGTGGGTTAGCTATTATTTAGGGTGTCTGTTATGAATAATTATTAGAACCTGGTATGGTTAAGCCTTTGTTTTATAATAATCAAATTTTTGTTTTTAAATAACCTGCGTACTGTGCTAAAGCTTTAATTTTTCACCCTGGGATTCACAAATAACAAAATAACAAATTTACTGACAATAGAATAAAGGATTCTTGAGTTATAATCCCAAATTTTTTTATATTCTCTTCAGTAACTGCAGGGAAATAATTTCATTTTACCCCTAAAAAAAAAATACATGTATGTATGTGCATAGTGGACAGGAATTACCCATCAAAATCTGTGGAACCACACGTATACAGGATGGGGATGTTCTTTAAATTAGGGCTAGAAATTCATCTAGCATTTCTATCTAGAAAAAAACTGATTCAATGTGCGTGCTTAAGAAACACCATAAGTTTTTTAGCTATTTGCAAAGTTTTCTAGAGATTTCTAAAGCAATTGCACACAGTACTGCAGTATTTATGTGAAAAAGTCTCAGGGAAGTTTGTAGTAGGCAAGTTGCCTGATTTTTTAAAATTAATTTTTTTGTAGTTAGTGATTGCTTTTATGCACAGCAGAGGTTATAATACCTTTCTGGGGATACACCATGATTTGTGTGGAAAAGAATGACCACTTACTACATCAGGGGGAAAAAGTATGATAAAGAATTTTTAAAAAGAAAAAAAAAAAAAAAGAAAAGAAAAAGAAAAACCCTTGCTTTGCTAGGAAAAATCTGTAAGTCTTAGGAGATCTTGTGAAAAATTTTCAGCTAACACTCGATCATATAGAAGAATTTTGTGTAATGAACAAAAATAACATTCTGGGGTTCATAACAAATAGTAAATCACCCTTTGTTGCTTCGAGAGAGTAGCGACATCAGGATTTTGTTATTGGACTAGGAGAATTGTTGTGTGAAATGACTTTATCATAATAAACTAGTGCATGCTTATTTCCCATCGCACATGTCTTACCATATAAATGCTGCTTTTCTTCCTTATAATTCTCTTATGTGCTTTTAGTAGTGGGACAATTATAGTACCTAAACTTGGGGGTTTTTAAATAAAGTACATATTGAGATCCTCTCCCAGGAATTTCTGTGGTGGTTTTTTTTGTTTTGTTTTGTTTTAATTTTAATTTTTATGCATTCTCTGTTTTATGAGAGCTAAAGGGAATTTCTGTCCACAGGTCTGTGCTCTGCCATCTCTTTAAATCCATGGAATCTGGGTAAGGAAACCAGACCAGCCAAATGTGTTTGTACATGCTGACTATGACCGCATATACAGGTAACTAATTTTTCACACCACATCTATCCTTTTGTAAAAATACAACTGTTGCAGTAGTTCCTGTTTCTGATACAGTGACTTAATTATATTTTATTTGCCAGTGAAAAGTTTGATACATAGTTACTCTACTGGTATGAAGAGGGATTATGAAGACTGGAAATGGTTGTTTATGGGGTGGAGGGTTGTTTCAGGTGGGGTGGGTGGGTTTTTTTTTTTGTTTCATTTTATCAATCTCACTGCAGAAGTCACTTTTGTTGCATTTTAAAATCTTTCAGGAGAATCACGTGTTACTGTGTGCAACACAGTGTTTGATGTCTTCATGTAGTCCTATGCTGGACGCTACTGTATACGCATTACCTTTAATTTTTAATTTTTTTATTTTTAATTTAATTAGTTTGAATGTGCATACAGATACATAAACTGTCCTAGATTGTAGTATTCAGTGGAAAAGCATGTAAATCTCCAGAAATAAGTGGAGACTTCTTTGATGCATGAGTTTATCTGTTTCTGTACATTTCAAAAATATTGCTTGTAACTAAGAATTTAGCTGAAAATATCTGCTAATACCTGAAGATCTAATATGCATAATTAACAAAACCACTTTTTTTTTTTTTTTTTTTTTTTTTTGTTAGTCCACCTTGAAGTAGCGAGTGTAACCAAAGCAAATTAAAATACCTGAAATAATGGGAAACGTAACTCACACAATTTCACAAAATTGTGAAACTTCTCAAACTTGAGGCTTCCACATATGCTAGGACTAGGTTAGCTGAAGGAAAAATAGAATTTTTTCTCCTGAAGCTTGGCTTAGATCTAAAGAAAACGTCTCCTGTAAGCAGGTTGCTCCATAGTTCTCAGTTGCAAAATTTCTTGCACCTTTTTCTCAATCAGCTGATAGTAACCCCTTTATAGAGAGCACGCTGTATTAAATGAATCTTTAGGCAGTTTCACTAGTTTGTGTGTTTCTTCAGCTGTTTCAAACACGATGACAAAACTAGCCAGAATCTGTCATACCTGGTATGCTACTGGAACACCTGGTTTTGCAGCCTGCTTCAAGACCTGTTTGTTACAGCGCTGCTATAGCACACTGGTGGCGAGGCTGTGAAAAATCATTGTCTCAAGCCTTTTGTGGAACACAAAGAAATTGGTTGTGAAAATTAAAACTGGCTGTCTCAGGATTACTGTGAAGCTTTTCCAAATGGGGAAGGGTTACGCCATGTGTAGTTTTGTATTTTTACCAACTCCTGATTAATAGGGCATCTGCTTAAACAGAACCAATGATTGCATCCACATCAAAAGTTGCTTTCTAGCTTTCAGCCTCCAGGCTCTGCTTTCACTCTTACATGAGTGTGACTGCCATCAACAGGTAAAAATGAAGGCTACTGGGAGGCTTTAAAATATCTGTGCGATACAGACTTATGAATCTTGATAACATAAATGCCATTTTAGTTCCGTCATCTGCAGAGCTCTGTATAAGAGAGGAGAAGTACTTCCAGGGAGTGAAAGTCCTGGAATGTTTCTTACATACCAGTCTGCTCGCTTATGTGTCACGGTCAGCAGGTCTGTAAAACTGTCTCACATCTGCAGGATGTCACATGGTGGAACTCTGTGGCTCAGATAGCCACGTATGTCCTGTTCAGACATCTGCTGTTCAGAGGCAGTAACCTTCAATCAAATGTGCAGCCCAGACAGGTTATGTTCATGAACGGCTTCATGACATAGCTCATATGACAAGTAACCATGTTTGAAAGCTGTGGAAGCTTCACCTTAAAATTAGTTTGGTTTTGCCCCATTGCTAATCAATTTAAGGTGATTTGCCTCTCAAAGCCTTATTGCATTGTTTAGAAACAGTGAAATATAGTCACTTAATGATGCCGTAGGTACTGCAGTACTTTGGGAGGCATTTGTATCAGATTTTTATCAGTGTGACAGTTAAAAAGGCAACAGCTGCTTTTCTTAGGATGCAGGAGTAGGAAATCTTGTTCAAAAGCAAAAAGATACAAGGACAGGTACTGCAAAGTCCTGAGAAGAGGTATTCTTGTTCAGCAAGGAGAGCAAGGATGTAACTTGGTCCCCAAGGTATTAATGAGTAAGGGTTTTATTTGCAAGTGAAATTGCCATTGCACCTTGATTAGAAATATGCCACATTGATGTTTTATTGATTGTTTTGTCAGGATTTTCTAATTTCCTAGAAAGGAATTCATTTTTGCATACAAATAGCATTCTTACTGCATTGTTATAATGAAAAAATTACATATTGTTATCTGAGTAAATATACTGCATGATTCTTAGGATAACTCAAGATGCTCATGGACTCTGAAAGAATAACTGTCACCAAATAGTCTAAACTATGTTTTCTAAAGAACGGGTGAAAAATCAGCACTTCTCAAAATGGCATAGCTCCTCAGATGGCATAAAAATACTGCAGAAGTAATAAATAATTATATTTTACCTACTTCTCTATTTGTGACTTCAGGTGAGTGTTTCTAATCAACTTACCCAAAATAATAACTCAAAAGGACCACCTCATATTCCAAAATCACACCAGCACTATTTCCTATTCCAGAATATTTTGTCTGCCTTTGATTGCCATAGTGTGCATTCTGTTAAACTTGCAGAGATTCAGAGAGATGTTCATGTGATTTTGATCTTGTTTGAAGTTCTCACTCCCTTTAGTCCCCAAAGCAATCCAGAACCCCTGTTTCTCCTGTCTTTCCACCAAAATTAAATGAAGCTTCTACAATATTTCAATTTCAGCTCGGCTTCAGTCCCAAGTCTGTTCAGAGGACAGGGTACTCTCTTTTTATTAGAAAAAAACCCCAAAACGATTCAGAACCATTCCAACTTGCTGTTATTTGCTAGTTCTTTAACAAGTGAATGAAAATCATGGCTGCTGCTTTCTGAGGAAGGAATAGCAGAGTATCAAGATTGTTCATTAAACAAATTAAATAAATAAAAGCATACTGAATAGAAATACTCAGTGAGGCCAGGCAGAGCAAGAAGTAGGAGTAACTCAGTCTCCTTAGTTACATTCTGCATTCTCACAGTTTCTTTCAGTTTGCCTCTTACTATGGAACAAAAGAGTTATTTTAAGCAAATTCTGAGAACAAAGCATAAAATTAGCAAAAATGTTTTAGTCGGAAGGGAATATAATTGACAAGATTCTAAGGCAGGGGGAACTAGTTTCGAGAGTCTTCATGTAATTTATGACAGAAAAAGGCAGGAAAAATCCATATACCTGAGTTTCCTAATTAATACAGTCTTGGAAGATGATACTGAACTTCTTACTTATGGTATGGATTAGAATGGTTTATCTGTGACATGGACTCAAGAAGAGGAAATTCGGAATTGTTGAGACACTTTGCAAGTCGCTTCAAAATCCTTCGAAAAAATCCATCGTTGTCTGTAAGCAAAGCGAAGTAGAGTTGTGAAAGCCCACAGCTTTCCTGTGGATTTCATTCTACTGCATCAGTGTACATCTATGTTACTGTGAATGCAATGAGCATATCTATTACATGACTCTCTTTGTAAATCTCATTCTGGACAAAGGCAGCATAAGCTACATGGAGACAGTATACGCTGGTCTACATATGTCATGAGGGTGTTACATGTAGTCTTGTTTTCTCATCAATTCTGGCTGAGGTAGTTTTATTTCCAGGGGAAAACCTCCTTGTGACCCATCCAAAAAATCAATACCATATGCATCTCTGACTTCAACAATCATAAAAATGTATTGCCTACTTCCTGAGGGTGATTGTTATGTTTAGCATACCTTGAAGCATTTTCCAAAGCCAAAAAATATCACTACTCTTGTCTTAGTTGTAGGAAACTGATGCATAACAATGTGAAATTATTTAGCCACTACCTCCCAGCAAGAAAGAAAGAGATGAAATGTTAGAGCTGCTTGAACCTGGATGTAGTATTCCTTGCGTTCAGTGACATAATTTTATACTGTGATACAATCTCATGGTGTGATACAAATATATGATTTTGTAATCCATATATATACTTATATACATATGTATACTTATATATGTACTTATCCATACATATAACAAAACAACAGAACTTCTCTGCTGGGAGTAGGCTCTGTTCGAGTTTTTCTGCACGTTCACCTTCCACCCTTGAAACACATATGGGTGTCTTAAGGTTGGTCCAAGCCTGTTTGTACACTTACCAACCCCTTTCTCAGTTTTTTCCCTTCTATTTATACAGCCCACTATTGAGAGAGACAGAAGAATAGGGGTTTGGTGCTTTTTTCTTAAAATCAGAATTGTGTCAGAGCTCTTTTCCGTATGCTGGGGATTGTTACAAGATCATGTTCAGTTTTGCCTTCATAGTCAAGTGTGGGTTATTAGTTTATATTTTGTGCTCTACCTTTAAACTTGACAAGCCATAGCCAAGTTTAAAGGTAGAGCTTGAGGCAAACAGGCTGCCCTACCTGAGCCAATGGATATTTTTCAACATGATGAAATCTGTTAGTGGCACGGAACAAACATAGCTGGCTTTGCAGTGGCTTGAATCACAGTACACATTGTGAGCAACAGGGGAGAATATAAAATAAGGTCTAAACATCTTTTTCAAAATCTCATATCCTGTAATGAGCATAGGTCATTCAGAGCTGAGGTGGAACTGAAGGAGTGAGTGTACAGTTATTTAGAAGCAAGTAAATGGATGTTCTCCTGTATGCACACCTAGCCTGCAGCTCTAATAGCAACAAAGGGCATTGTGATAATAATCTTAGAAATCAGATTCTACTCTCTGTGTGTGTACACATAAATGTATAAAAAACACACACATGCACACAACCAACTGCACACCTGCAGGTCTTCCTTTAAGTAAATAATCTTCTAAGTAACACTTCAGTTGCATGAATACTGATTAAGCAGTTTGAGTAGAAGCTTAAATATAAAGAAATATTTCCCTGTTTAAAGGGACTTTCCTCAAGGGGATCATTGTCTTATTGAGCAACTAAGAGAAAAACAACTGGTACCCTGGAGATGCTGAGAATTTAGAATCCACATCGAGAATTCAGCCTAGCTACTGAACTTCCCATGATGTCAGACACATCAGACCTGCAGTGAAGTTTGTCTGTGAAAAATGCCTCCAAATACAAGAAAGAATCTGCTTACCTCGGTATGTGTCGGGTTCCTATAGAACATCCTTCCATCCTTGACACAGCAGTTTCAGAAAGCGGGCACAGGTGTGTGTCCTAGTGAAGCTGCTACCAAACATGGGAATTACTGATGAGAGCACTGTTCTTTCAGAGAGCCTTACCTTATTTAATTGCTGCAGTGGAAGGAGAGCTTCAGTGCTGCTGCTGATTCCAGCATCCAGAGAACACAAACTGTATTCCCAAAGCAAAAATATTTCTGGTGGGGGGACTTGTGCCACTGTCCTCTGAGAATTTATGTTTAGTCAAGCAAAGCTGATTTGTTGATGGGTTAAGGCATGCTTAGAAAGTTTAGTAGTCTTTAATTTAATCACAGTAGGTAATAAAATTAGTAGAATCAGTAATGGATCCTGTACTTCAAAAGGTAAGTATTTATTTGGGAAAGTGTACTGGGACTGAGCAAAACAGTGGTGAAAGATAGTCTGAAAAATGGGTAGACTTCTGTCATCCACACCAAGCAAAACTGGGAACTGAATTCAGCCCAACCACTCTGTTCTTGCAGTGGTAGAGAACTCGAAGAACAAAAACCACACGCTAATCTCATTATTTCAGAAACAGCTCCAGAAAAGTCTGCGTGAATGTTGTATAAGGTGTGTAGGGATTGCTCATGGTTGTTATGACAATATTGGCTGTTGTTTTAAGCGGCCCCAAGAGCTTTAGGGACTGGAGATACAAAATGGTTAAATGACACAGCTGGGCGTGAAGTTGTGAGAGAAGCAGTAAGAATCCTCAGTCATCAGGTCCCATGTCTGTGGGTTTGGTTTGTGTGCTCCCTGCTGTGCTGGGCTTGGACAGGAAAGCTCTGCATAGAAAACCTGGAAGAGAAAATTGGTGTTAATGGTACATTAAACCACAACCTGAGCAGGCTAAACGATACAGTGATTCCGAGAAAGACCTGCATATTGCATTTCATTGCTCACTGGAGCAGAGGGAATTAGTATGAGAAATTCATGAAGATCATGGGAGGAGCAGAAAGAAGGAAATTGTTTTACAGAACTGAGCTGCAAAAGCCCAAGCTAACAGAATCAAAGTTGAGTGTTTGGGACCCCTGTCTACCCTGCTTTCACTTGCTGCTAAGAACGAAAGAACTTGCAGCAATGGTCTACACTTCTTCTGTCGCTCAAGAGTCACTTCCCATGATTAAGAGGGTAGGGAGAATCTTCTGATTTACAAAACCAGAACTCGTGACCTCTGGGATTCTGTTACAGTAAACATCCTAAAGCTCAAGCCACTTGTCAGCAAAGATCCCAATTCTGCAAAACCCTTTCTTGCGAGCACCTGTCAGAAAAAAAAAAAGCGCTTATAAAATTCATGTCTCCAAGCAACAAAACAAAACACACATAAAGTGAAATATCTCTCTAGCCACTACCCAAGTGAACTGGCAGACACCGTTGCCTAGTTAGTAGTTTCTGATTTTCAGAGGCCAAGCAGTTCTATTCCAAGAGTTCGGATGAGATTTTGAGTTACATGAACAGATGATATGCAGGAGTTTTACCCCTGTCTTAACAGCCAGAATTTCACCGTGCATGCTTGAATGCTTAAGCTGGTTATAAAAAAAAAAAATAAAAATACAAGAGCAAATACTGTCTTGAACAGAGAGGTGAGCATACACTCCCCTCACTTCAACATGAGCTGAGCAGCTTCAGTTACTCAGCACTGGATAAAAAGGAACATAGAGTTTCTCATAACTTTTAAATAAAGTTATAAAATGGTAACATAACTTTTTCATTTAATTCCACCTTTTCCCCAATATCCACGAATCAGCTTGATACAAAACTGTGTTGAAATCAATAAAATGTACTTTTCTTTTTTAGGCACTGGCTTGTGCTTCTTAGGGAAATAACTCCCGTTGACAACACTGGAAATAAGATGTGGGCTGCATTGGTTTTATGTACAATATAGACCTTTCCGTACTGTGCATTTCAAATCTAAGCATTTCCTTGGTGCTAACTATTGTTTATGAACATTGTCATTTACTTTAAAGGAAATCTAACTTAATTTTTCTTCTTATCTGTGCTTCCACTATCTTTATAACTCTTCAGCTCCCTCCAGGGGTGTCAATACATGATTTGCTATCTTAGTCGGTTATCTTGTTTAAAGAAAAATCCATTTACAGTTTCTCCTGCCTGCAGAACAGTCTTCTTGATAGATCCCCCATATAGCATAAAATAAATGGGTTATGGCTGCTTCAGGAAAGTGGGCTTGAAATTCCAAAGTGGGACTCTGTAATCTTTTGAGTTTTATTCTTGGCCTTGGTGGAGGCCAATTTTGAATGAATTATTTAGCTCCTTTGCTTTATATGTGCCAGTGGGGAATGGACACAGTAAAGCACAGTGGTGTTGCCAAATCCAGTGACACTTTCGAAGTACTTTGAGATTCTTGGATTGGAAGAGATGAAGAAGTTGTAACTATTGTTCCTGCTGTTACTGATTTCTGTTTCTCAGCTCTGGAAATAGGATTCAAAATTCATTGGCAGGGAATTGGGATGAGAAAAGTTACAATCCTTCTCCTGTGTTTTGTGAGATTTGCATGTGGAAATATCTGTGTGTGTTTGAGCCAGTAGGAAGTTTCTCTCTTGGGAAGAATTAACGTTTTAGTAAATAAACGGCAAGCAAAACTGAGTTTTTATACAAAGACAATTACACGTAATGGAAAAAAAATAAGCCCCTCTACATGTATATTTTTGCTTAGTCAAGCCAAAATATTTATTGAAGAAATAATTTTGATGGGAAATATTTTGATAAACCTTAAAACACAAACAGATTTGGACTAAGAAGTTCTAAAGGGTCAAGGAACACATTCAAAAAATAGTCAAAGTAACAAAACCCACCCACTTTCCCCAGTGGTAACAGGTCTCCATGAACAAACACGTAACTAGGAGGAAAACCCATTAAAAACCCAGTGTTCTCCAAAACCCTTTAACTTTTAATTAAGTGAACATACTAGTTTCAGAACTGATAATAAATTCTATTTGTAGGTGATTATTGTGTGTTCAGTTTTGATGTTTCATTAAAGACATTTTTACTTCAGAACTCTTAACAGCTGGAAACCAGGTTTTACATTATACCGTGAGCAACATGCTCACAAATTTCTTACCTACTAAAGCTCAGCAACAGAGCTATACTATTGCCTATGTGTGTTTAGGCTGAGTTATGCTGTTATATTACCAATGTGTATTATGCTAATCCAATAAAACATAAAGACCATTGTAT